TACAAGATCTAATAGTCTTTTGCCTGTCTATGACAATTTTAAAACATACAACCTAGTAAACATGACTATTTTAAAACCCATAAAGAAATATTAAGTATAGTTGATTACATAATCGTGAACTTAGTTTATGATCTTTAAAGAAAACAAAAATTTTAACAAATCAATACTTAATATTAATGTTAATCACACCAGTCAATATGAAAATCATGTGTCACATGATTTTCATATAGACCAGTGTGAATAACTTAGAAAAAAAGCACAGGTTGTTACATAGTACTCATAGGATAAGAAAGGATTTGCAATGATCTTCTGCTCAGGATTTTCTTGAATATAAGAGAACCTGCCAATATAAGACAAAACATTTGTTTAAGAATAGATTACAGTAGTAGCAACCAAAATTCAGTTGATTGACTAGAATTTAGGGTCAGAATGGGCCGGATTTGATAAAATTTTTTAAATTCTCAAAAATTTTTATTAATAAACTAGCAGTCTATATATTAAGTAAAATTTCTCACTACTGATTTTGCTATTGTATAGTGCTAGTATGGTTAGCTAGTATTATTGCTTAATGTCGGCCAAGCTCTGACCCTAAATTTGGGCTGATTTGCTAAATTTTGGTTTCTCTACTAATCTATCCTTTGTTTAATATTAATATCTAATTCTACAATTATTCAGATCAATCCTCAACCTGTATCATTTGTCAATAGCACTGCCACTTTCTATAATTTTAATTTCTAGTATTGATAATCTTCAGCTCAAATTTAAAAAATTTATCACTGTTTTTATCCATTATTGCAAATACCACATACTTGGTAAATTTATCCTATTTATCATTTTTAAAGATAGTGCAATTTGTAAAATCAATTCTTACTGACTGTACATATCCATGTTATTTCTTTTTTCTAACATTTTTTGTTAACATTTATTTGTTTGGAATAGTGAGTAACTGAATTTTTTCAGAAACTTATGATAGAATTCATGATAATTTCAATGAAAATTAACTTAACATTAACTTAATATTGCAGTACTGTGTTTTGAATTTTTGACAGTAACTTGCAATGGAAATTATAGCAAATTAATCCAACTATAACCACATGTAATATGTTACAAATATACAAGTAAGATCTGTAAAATAATTTTTATAGTAGCTCAAAATCAAAATCAAAATAATTTCAATGTAAACTAATACAACTTTGAATACATATTGTGTATTGCCAAAATAGTGAGTAAATTATATAACAGAGCTTTTATAATACTGTACCTCATGATAAAATCATAATAATTCTAATGCAAGTTATGTATTATCAGAATAGCAAGTTCTGTAGTGGAGTTTTTTACAGCAGCTTAACTTATTGATTCCAATACAAAACCAACCAAACCTTAACCAAATACTGTGTACACCAGAATAGTAAGCTCTGTAACAATTTTTTATAGTAGAAACCATTTTAATTCTAATACAAACTAACTCAATCTCATATTGTGCATCACCAAATGTTCTTTAAAGATTTTGTAATTTGTGATAGAAATCTAATAATTTGAATAAACAACCTCAACTTCAACTACATATTTTGTCACCATAATAGCAGGTGAGTTCAGTATTTTTTATGTAATTTTACAATACAAACTAATTCAACCTTGACTATATACTTTCTGTTAAGGATTGGACCCGTATCCGGGTCACCCGGGTTACCCGTGGGTAGGTCATGTAACCAGGTAAAAATTTTGCTACCCGGGTAAAAAAAGGTAACCAATCAAATAAAAATATTTTCTATATTTCGTCTGGACAGGCACTATTCATTATTTGCTTGGTCACATAATGACACCTCAACCAATTAAATCGTATTATACTTTACTTGGGTACTTACCCGGGTAGGTTAGCAATTAACTGACAAGTAACCCAGGTTGGATTTTTTTGAACAGGTCCAATCCCTACTTTCTGTTACTAGAACAATGAGCAAGTTTTATATCGGAATTTTTTACAGTAACTATATGTTACTAGAACAGTGAGTAAGAATTTTTACAGTAACTCTCAGTATAAACCATAATAATTTGTCTTAACTTTAAATGCATATTGCTTTACCAGAATAGAAAGTTCAATAACACTATAATTATATATTGTGCCATTGAAATAGCAAGTTCTGTAACTTAAGTTTTTATGCTAACTCATAAAAAAAAACTATAATTTTAATGCAAACTAACTCAACCTTTTCACATATTGTATATCACTAGAATGGCAAGCTTTGTAGCAGAATTTTTTATATTGACTTATTATAAAAATCATATTATTTCAATACAAATTAGCTTAATATTAATTATACACTATGTGTCAACAAAATAGCAAGTGAGTTCTGTAATAAAGTTTTTTAGAATAGCTTATGATAAACTTAACCACATAAGGTGGAGTCAGGTATTATAGTATAGTATATCATTGGTATACTTACATTTTTTGTGATTTCTAGATATTCACTAATTAGTATTGAATAATTTTAGTATTATTTGGTTCATTTTACTAAGACAAATCAAATGATTTCAAAATTAATTAATTCTATTTAAAAATTAATGGAAGATTGTTGCAGTTGATATGCTTTTTTTCTTTTTTATTTAGGTAGGTAGTTTTGAGGAAAAGATCAGTGAAGTAAAATATAAAAACAATACAATATTAAATATTGGTATGCATGTTATACCATAATACCCCAACCACACAAAGCATTGCATTTTTTCTGATGATTTTTGAAAGTTAGAATATCAAGTAAGTTTTTTTTAAATATTGAGATTTTTTTTTTTTTTTGCTAGATAGTATTAGCAATTCTTAGGTGTACCATAATATCCGGCTCTACTTTACTATATGTCAACAGAATAAATGAGTCATATGACAATCTTTTTTAGTACAAATTGCAATAATTTCAATGCAAACCAGCTACATACTGTGTGTCACTAGAATTTTAAGTCAGTTCGTAACAGAATTTCTTATAATAGTGCACAATGTAGCTCAACATAAGTTCCATACTTACTAGAATTTTTTATAGTAACTCAAAATAGAAATCATGGTTATTTGCATACGAACCTAACTTTAACTAATTCTGTGCATTAACAGATAACAAGTTCTATAATAGTATTTTTTACAGAGTATATGATAGAGTTCGTGCTAATTCCAATACAAACTAAAATCTTAACTACATAATGTGTGTCACCAGGATAGTGATAAGTTTTGTAATAATTTATTTATTATATTAATGCATGTTAGAAACATAATTTTTTACAGATAATTTCAATTTATACTATATGTCACAACAATAAGGAGGTGGGGTGGCGCGAAGCGCCACCTGTTACGCTAGTATATTTATAAATATACAGTTTTAAAATTTAACATCAATACAATATTCCATATTACACTATAATAGCCAGTGAGTAATACTGAATAAGAGAATTTTTATTTCAACTTAACTAGCATAACATTAACCAATTCACATGTTATAAAATACTTTATAATACACTATAATAGCCGGTGAGTAACACGAAATAAGAAAATTTTTAAATCAAAAATGACGATTATGTTCAATACAAATAACATAGCATTAATTAATCCACATACAATACAATACTCTATATTACGACAGTTAATAAGTCATATGGAATAAGAAAATTTTAAATCAGAAACGTCGATGATATTACAACACAAATAGCATAACATTAACCAATCCACATACAATACTCTATATTATGACAGAGCGTAAGTAATACGGAATAAGAAAATTTTTAAATCAGAAATGTCAATTATATTCCAAGGCAAGTAACATATCATTAACCAATCAAAAAATAATACCAATATTCTATATTATTTCAGTGACATATCATTAACCAACCACATACAATACAATACTCTATATTACAGTATTACAACAGAGAATGAGTAATATGAAGTCAGAAAATCCTTTATACTGTAACTCTTAACACGAATAGTATATTATTTTTTGCGATATTTAAGGTTTAGAAATGGAGTAGTAATCCAGATATTGATAGCTTCACCCAACAAGTACAACTTAAAGCGAAGCTTTCTAAAGATGTTATCGAATGAATGAATATCTTTTGATAAATTTACAAATATAAAGTATCTTGTCAAAGGAAGCTTTGGCACTGTTTTTAAGAAATATGGACTGACGGATATATTCAGTATTGGGATGATGAAAATAATCAATGGAAGAGAATACCGAAAAAAAATGTTTGCTTAAAAAGTCTAAATGCTTCTAAAAAAGTTATTAGAGGGAATTTTTAAATGAGGTAAGATTATAAATATATCTAAAATATTTAATTAATATATATTTATTTATTATGATTAATACAGTATTTGAGGTTAAAAATCAGCATGTGATTTAGCAATTGCAATTTATGGAATAACTAAGAACCCAGATGATGATAATTATATGATGGTTATGCAGTATGCAAAACAAGGAAATCTTCGAAAATTATTAGATATCAAATATAAGGATTTAAATTGGGAACATAATATATATAACTTAATTACCATCTGAAATTCATGAAGCCAATTTAGTGCACAAAGGTTTCATTCGGAAAATATAGTTAATGCAGATATGCTTGTCTTTTATATTACTGATTTTGGTTTATGTAGGCCAGTGTGTCAAAATTCAAGTTCTACAGATTTGTTTGGCGTATTTCCTTATATTGCACCGGAGGTATTATATACAAAAGGAAAAGAGTATACGTACTCAAAAATCAGATATTTATTTTTGGGGATAATTGTGTCAGAAATTTTCACTGGATATCCTCCATATCATAATATTCCATATGATATTAGCCTAGTAATATAAATTTGTGAAATTTTATTATTATATTTAAATTCTAATTTTTTTTTTTTTTAGACGTGTTAAAACGCATACCGTACGCCACTGAATATTAGTACCCGCTGTGATAAATAATGCAGAGCAATTTTTTAAAATATTATTTATATGCAACTAGTGATGTAAACAATTGTGTGATTTTTATCACAACGGGTACTTATTGTCAGTAATGTAGGGTATGTAAATATATATTTTGTAAATTGGAAATGATTTCATTAATTCGTAGTCTTAAAGTGCTATTAAGATATTTTAAAGGTTTTTTGCGTAAAAGGAAAGATATAGACAATTTAAAAATATATAATAAAAAAAATAATAATTATTGGTATAATTAAGAATGTCAGTTGTATTTTAGGATGCATGTAAATTAAAATATAATTATTAAGTAATTAAGTAAATATTTAGCTAAATTTAAGCCAAGAGTCATTTCGCATATTATTTGATCCAGGGGCACGGAAATTATGCAATAAGAATTCGTAAATGATTCATATAGTATATGTAAAACACAGAAATATGCGATTTCTGTCAAGCGAAATGTCAGTTTAAGGGATCAGCAAGTTGAAGCACATCTAAAATTAAGACTATCTAGATGTTTTGTAAGACAATTTTCGCTTCTCATTTTTTCTAGCATATCAAAAATGGATGTCAATTCGGATTACAACTCCGGAATTCAAAAGATTTCCCAATCGATTATTATTTGACTTACGTAACGTATGTACGTACATTATTATGTCACTTTGCAATCGGTAAACCACATATTTTATAAAATAATTTTTTTTACCAAATTTGTTAACAAAAATTTTTACCAAAAAAAAAATTACATAACAGATTTAAAAAGTTAGACTTAATAGTTTATTCAATAAACGTTTTTCTTTTAAAAATATACAGTAGACTTTAATTTAGAATTTTCTCAAATTTTTTCCATACTTCTTCAAGACTCCAGTTCTGACAATTCAGATCACGTTTATGTTTATATTTTAACATGAGATTATCATCTTCATCGGCACTGTCCAGCAATAAATTATGATTAGCTCTTAAGTAGATTTTAAAATAACCCTTATCGTAATATATTATATCCCATTTCTGAAAATCTTTCTTGTTTACGCTATGATCAATATCTTTTAATATAACGTAACTTAAAGATTCTTTACTTTCAGTTTCCAATACCAATCCAGTACGAAGATGCACTATTCTTCCATTTGCATTGTCAAAATAAAATATAGCATCAATTTTTTCCGCATTACTTCTGTCTCTAAAAACAATATTTGCATTTCTTTGATTTTTATAAGGAATCATAAATTTATTATTTTCCACTGGAATAAAATAGCGAATATTCTCTGCTAAACCTATATAAAGATTTGTCGAAGTAATAAATTCATTTTTTAAATTCATCATATCCAAGGAAAGAATTCCGTATTTTAGAACTGGATGTCCATCCAACTTTAAAGGTTTAAAATTTCCTGTAAAATAATAATAATAATGATCCTCTTTAAGTATTGTTATTTTTTTATCTTCACGTTTATATTCTAATTTACCAAGACTCGGATGATTAAAGTTCTCATCACTCGACGCGTCTCGATTTTCCCATTGCAAATATACACTAACTGGGCCTCCATTTTTCAAACCATATGGTAAAAATACAGTAATCATTAGTTATATATGATTCGTATGATATCCTTCCTGAGTAAGATGCTCCATGAAGACTACCAATATGCCACATTTCATTAAAGCATTGTTCCATGTCCTTTTTGAATTGATTTTCTTCATTATTATCATGAACAACAAAAACATATTGTTCTGTACCATGATCTATATGGGGATGATCTTTCTTTTCTAACAATTTTTTAGTTTCAGACTCAAGCTTTTCATGATTAATTTTATTTTTTAGCCATTCGAAGGCTTCATCCACTATCAAATCTGCCGTATTGTCAACCATTGTATGGATAACCATTATGCGGATCGGTTCTTCTATTCCTGTAAATATTAGAGCGTCACAGACTGATCCTTGAAAAGCATTCACAGCCGAAATAGCTGCCTCCTTGATATTTCCATGAAAACCATACCATACTGCTCTGACAAGTGAAAAGAAAGTTCCAAAGCCTGGAACAGTATCAAATATTCGATAGGCTTTGTTAAAAATGATATCTTCGGTATCGGACATTGTAGATTACTTCAAAATTTTCTAATTTTACAGCAGAATGAATCGAGCCTTCACAAAGATATATCGATATTTAAAGAACCTAACCCGACAGAGAGAATTTATTTTTCATGCGATATGATAGTATCACGTGAAAATAGAAAACTAACCAAAGAATTTAGTCGTGGGAAGACAAATACAATTATGAATGACAACGTGTCACGGTTCGGGGATAGACTTATTACTTCGATGCTAATCTAGCTACTGTGCTAAAATCATTAAAGTATAAAATATACGTAATTTTCTAATATTGGCATGCGAATATTATATTTATTATGAAAGCTAAAGACAATAACAAGTTCGTTAAGTTATCCCTTCTCATTACATAAAGCGATTCCTTATATATGTCTTAGCTAGAATAACCATATTACCAAGAATGAGGTAAGAAGATTCACTATTTACAAGAAATGTGGTAATGATAAAAGAAATGAAGTAATGATAGAGTAATCGAGGCTTATTAATTTACACTGCCGTAGAAATGTAGTACGTAATCGGTCGGAAATATTCTACATCGATCTGATCGGCAATTTTGTCGTGTGACACAATTTCCCGTGACAAAGGCCAATACGCAACATGTCTGGCGTAAAAATCATGCATATTATTACATAATTATGTATTAATAAGTAGCTGCGCAACGCAGTTGCGCGAAACCAAGAACAGGGAAGTAGAAATTAGAATATTATATATCACGAAGAGAAATTTTTAAGGTTATTAGTAAGCGTTTATCCATTTAAGTACATTTATAATGCTTAATATTTATATAGGTTATTAAATTACCATTTATGCTTATTTTATTTTAAATATATTTTACGCGACAGTACAATTTTGTCACAAAAAAAATCCAATTTAGTAAATTTATTTGTACATTGCCATTTTAATCACATTGTTGAATTTGACGATTACCACGTGGTATTCTATAACTATCATATTCTAAATCAAGTAAATAAAATGAGAATAAAGCACATTTGCTAATTTCCCCAAGGTCTGACCAGCGATACTATTTTTGCCAATTTACCTGTCACCTAACGACTTAAATGTTAGGATTTGGGGTTAGGGTTAGTAGGTGATATTATACTAAAATTTTGCAATGAATTTCTTTTTGTTAGTGCATAAAAGATGCTTTCTTAGGTAAAATTTGTGATAAAAGTGATTTTCAAAAAAAAAGCGATTGTTGTTTTTATTATCACATTACACCTGATCTTGCATTATGATTGGGCAATATTGATTAGTAAATGCAAATAAAGTAAACTACTTCTGGCAAAAATCAGGTTTATTAAAAATACTAACATAAAAAAGTAATCAAAAGATGTACACTTAAATATTTAACAGAACATAATTGGCAAAGTTTATAATAACCAAACAATAGTTACTTAGATCATTGTAAAGAGTAACATCACATAATGGCATGCATGTACACTAGAATAAAATTTGAGATACTAAAGTTAGTAAATCAAAAACATACTAAACTAGAATAATGGGCATTCAATGGGAACAGACAGGATTTTAAAAGGTAAGATAGTTTGAAACAACCTTTCACAAAAAGCAATTGTCATGGTTGACTTTGGTGCTCCAGATATTTAAAGTGCAAGTTTTAGAGATCATGATTGGGTCATGATCAGGATTTACATGAATGGTGTGATTTGGGGTTGCACAAAATTAATTAAAAATTAAATTAATAATTGTATGAACAATGTAGTGATTAGTAATGATAGTGATTGCATAAGCAATAGAAAAGTAAGTAATAATTAGTGATGCAAAAATAGCAATTAGTAATTAATATAAGGTATCGATTCTGAAAGGAAAAGTACCTAGCTTTTTAGCTAGTAAGCTTTGAACTTGGTAAGCTTTAATAGCTTTGAGAATTGAATTTACTTAATGAAAATGAACTTAGTGAATAAACTATTACCTGTTATAATCAGTAAAAGGACCTGTATGATATATTGGGAATGTATATCAACTAAGCAAATCAAAAATATATGTGGTTATATAGTAAAATTTAGAGTATTTCTAGTCAGAGATGCCTAATAATAATATTTCAGAGCCAAAGCCAATTAAAATGCAAAATAATCACGTGACTGCCATTTTCATGTAGCACAAATAACAATCTTTGTGAATTAGTTTGAGAAAACAAACCAACAACAAAAAGCATGAAAAGTAAAGAAATGTGAAAAATATTAAAAATAACTATCTAAACCTATTTTGAGATACTAATTAAAAGTGTTCGAAAGATGATTTTGCTTATACTACTTGTTTTTGCTCTAAGCCTATATGACTCTAACCATTATTAAGTTATATGATTAGGCATAGCTTTGGGCCAGAGACATATAAGCTAAACATATCTGGCCAGAAATGCATAGAATTTTTCTAAAATTTATTACTGAAAATTTTTAACTAAGTAATAAATTTATCATAATTCTTGCAAATATTTAAATAGATATACAGCCCTAATGGCTTAATAGTTTTGGATAAAATTTTGCAAAAACTAGCACTTCATCTTTACAAACAAAGTTACAAAGCTATTTGTCTTATTTGCCTTTTTTTAAAAAAAAAAAACATAGTGTGTTAAACTTTTTATATTTAAATAAATAAAATAGCTCTGTAACTTTGTTTGTAAAGATGTAGTGCTGGTCTTTGCAAAATTTTATCCAAAACTATCAAGCCATTAGGGCTGTACATCTATTTAAATATTTGCAAGAATTATTATAAATTTATTACTTAGCTAAAAATTTTTGGTAATAAATTTTATTATATAACCACATATATTTTTGATTTACTTAATTGATATACATCCCCAATGATATATAGTTATCGGATATATTAGCCAAGCAAATAAAGATCGATAGTAAAGACTAGTGTACTAAATAGGTCAGGTTAACAATTTTTGGGTTAGAGCTTTAACCCAAACTGAATCTGACCTGAAATTTTAGGGCTAATATATTAAATTTTTTTTATAAATGAATTCAAATAGCCTTTTTTGCTCTTAAATATTTAATAATTTATATAATGATGATCATTGAAGTTGGCTAATCAATCTAAGCATAACATGCTTATAAACTTAATGGGCTACTAAAGTAGGAATCATGCATTGCATATTTAGAATCAATAAAAGTTTTTTATTACTGTATACTTCTAAAATTAAGCACCACTATATTCTACATTTGCCCAAAATTAAGCACCTCCTTTAAATAGTTGCTAGGATAATAATTGGTTAAACCTAGTTTGTGTCAAATACATTATAACCTGAAAATAAGCACCCATATAACAAAAAAAGAGTGTTTAATTTTAGAAGTATACAGCATTATCCTATAAATTCATAGAATTAATATAAAAAACTTTACTGATTTGCTGTCAAGAAGTTATTGTTTGAAGATAAAGAATTTAAACAACTATTAAAACAAAGTCAGCAATTAAGTTTTTCCAAACTTTGATTAAAAGTTAATATTCAAAAAGTGCAACTTGTAGGTTTTCCCTTTGGCAGCTTTTATATGTTGTATATAATAAAATTTTTATGTATAACCAATTATGCAGAAATCACTGCCTTTGGATACTATCAAGCATCTCACTCAATGAATCAGAGCTAAATTTTTTTAAGTAGAGGTTTCTCAAGTACCTCACTCAATTGCAGTCAGAGAATATACCGTATTTGGACAATGCTGATCGCATCTATTATGGTAATAGAATGATTCTAGAAATTTCAATACATCGATCATTAAAAGCATTAACCAATCAAATCAATTAATAATTACAGGCATAGTATCAGGTAAGCAAAAAATTTATTTCATTCTATACTACGTATGTATATACTGAATATTATTAATTTTTTTATATTTAAATTTTTATTCACTTGACTTTTATTTATTAATTTATTTATTTATTCACCCATGTATTTTATTGTATGTAAATAACTATTAATTAGTTTTGGTTCTGCCTTATTTTACTAACAGTCATTTCACTTGATCGCTTATTTAGCTGACACCACTTTAAACAACAATTTACTTACAATATATCTACAACTAATAAACATTAACTCTAACTCTATGTGATGTCGATTAAATAAACTTTCAGTGAAATGATTGTCATAGGACTAGATCTTGGATCTGGTCTATCTTTTGATTTCCGATGAAGAGCATTCTTCATATCTCCATTATAGAAGGTAAAAACTTGTAATTAAAGTAGCTTATTTTTAACTAATTAATAAATTATCAAACAACCAAATTAATACCAATAGTACGAAATTAAAGTAAGTCACTAAACCTAAATAGCTTATTATTCAAATGATTTTTTTGCTTAACAACTTTAAATCTATGAAATTGAAAAGACAATATATAAAGATTCAGTTAATAAATAATGCTTACAAACAAACAAAACAAATACAGTATATTGAGTAATACATATATAATAAAGTTTTTTGTTCAGTAATCTCTATTTAGTTAGCAAAGATTGTGACGAAGTTCTTGAGTTTTGTGCATTAGTATTCCAAACAAACATAAAAATTGCAAGTCTTCTAAGTCTCATTTACTTTTTTGATAGGAGTTGATCAGCACTGATTATTTTTGATTATTTAAACTACACATTTTCTTCTATATACTTATGCATTTATTTATAAGGTTTAGTAAAAAAATTTTGAGCATAATAAATTCCTGAAGAATGCTGACAAAAAGGTTATATGAACCAATCAAATCTGAGATCCAACATGCGAATTATTCTAGAATCTGATTTTTTAATTTGGTAAATTCTTTGACTGAATTGATTAGAAGCAAATTTTTATTGTCAAAAATTGAATAATTTAACTAAGTGAGCAGTTATTTTAATGAACAGGTCAGTGAGATACAAACCATTTTTTTTTCTTTAAAATTTATCATTGATAAAGGTCACACAAGTATCACTTTTGCATTTTTTATATAATAAACAATGAATTCTCAACAAAATTTAATTTGTTCTTAAAAAATAATTTATTTTTAATG